TTTTTCGTGAAAAATCATCTATGAAGAGAAGAAAATAGTTGCTCTTATCGAGTGAGTTTGGCTTTATTGGACCACAAACATCTGTATGTATGAGCTCAAGAGGCTTTTGGGCTCTTGAACTTGACTCTCTTGGAAAGCTTTTCCTAAAGTGCTTTCCGAGTAAGCATCCTTCACACAATTGATCAGGGTGGTTTATGTAAGGTAATCCTCTCACCATCTCTTTCTTTGAAAGCAAATCGAGTCCTCCAAAGTTGAGATGCCCAAATCGAAGATGCCAAAGCCAAGAAGCATCTTTATAACAAGTCTTCAAACATTTACATGATTTACATATTTGAAGTAATTTGTGGAATTTTCTATAATTTGATTAGATTGAAATGACTCCACGACAAAAGAGACGGGTTGAATTTGATGAGTCTCGCTTCATCAATACGATGGCTCAGACAAAATTTACTTCTGTATTTAAAGGAAAGAAGTGCATACAAGATCGAGTTTTTGAAAGTCCGGGAGGAGAAATCGAACGAGTTATTGCCGAGTGGATATGGAGAAACTTTTGTTACACCAACAATAAAACTGATGTAAATGTTTTGAAGGATTTCTATGCCAATGTGATTTATTCTGATGATGGAATCGTTCAAGTGCGTGGATTCCCAGTTGCGTTTACTGCCGCCTGCATCAACACATTTTATGAACTCCCAGACTCATATAGCTGCCACTATGATTCCTTTAGTAGGATGGAAGGCCCCCTCAATGATGTGATCAGTTTTCTCACTGATGAGAAAGGAACATGGAAGATAAAACAGTGAGAAAGGGTAAATTTTTCTGCTTCCATGCTGAATGCCACCTCTAAGGCGTGACACTAATTCATTTCCTCTACTATGTTACCAACCTATCACCATAGTGAGGTAACTAGAGATAGACCTATTCTGAATTTCTGTATTCAGAATAGTAGAACTATAAATGTGGGGAGAATAATTCTTAAGAATATATTGACTACGACAAGGAGTGAGACTAGTGGAGGTCTAGGACATCCTGGACTTATTTATGCAATGCGCAAACTTTCTGGAGTAGAATTTGAAGATGAAGAATAGGTTTATCCTATGAAACTTTATCCTATGAAACCCATTAGTAAAGCTAATTTGAAGACTTATGAATCCCATGAGAAATGGAGAACTTGGAGTAGAAGTCAAGAACCTTCTAATAGTGAAGATGTCCCCTCTACAAGTTATGACCTTCCACCTTCTAGTTCCCCTACCCTCTCTGATTTGATGAATGAGTTGACCTTC